TCTATATAAGGTCTATATAAGACACGTACATAAGGTCTATGGTGCTTTACCATTAGTTCATAGATAACTCACTGGATGAGATACAAAGATACAAAAGTGATGTCATAACGACGGAAAGCCATAGAGTAAAAAACTATTTGTATTATCAGTCTATATTAATGTCAGGTACAGTACAATGAAGAGAAACGTGATCAAGCAGCGTGGTTTGGATTGTCACGAATAGATTACTAAATTCAATTTTTATTTTAAATTATGTGATATAATCAAGTCACAAATGAACAATTTTATATAATAATATCATTTGAAAATTTTGGTGAATGGGTGAAAACATAAATCTATAATTTGTAAGCTTGTGCCTTTTGTATGTACGCGTACTTTCTAAAGTGGCAATTTTAATAATAATTTAATAATAAATAGATATTTATAAATATACGTAAATAATGAGTGATGACGATCGTGACATAGATATTGAAAGTGATGTAAGTATGCTACCACATGCTGTTTCCTATTTTCTTGAATTTAGTGCATAAATGTGTCATTTCAGGATGCTGATGACTCGGATTCTCGATTACCAGGGCGCAATGCTGGAACTATATATTATTCACAGGTATATAATATTAATTATATACCTTATATTATATATTTTCATTATTTACATCACAATATAATATCTGATATTGATGTCTGTAGTTGTGATTTAATTATTAAATATGACCATAATTCATCAAAGGAAAATAATTAATTCATTAATTTGAGAACTCAATAAATGCAGTTATGTTTATTCATAATGATTCATTATTGTTTTTTATATTCCGATACTGTCATAGAAACAGTTTGGAACTTATTGCTTATTAAATTTATGAGAAAAACTGACAGCTTCGAAGAACTTTGAGTATAGGCTATATTCAAAGGCAATAATAGCCTTTATTTTTATTATCGCTTTGTTTTTTTTTATTTTTATTTTTATTTTTTATTTATTTTGCAATAAATGCATCTCCATATCTCAGTCAGAAAGGTATAAGAGATTATGGATTGCTTCATGACTTGTTATGTTTTTGATTACAGTGACACTTTTTGTATTTATTTTTATATAATTTTTTAATAAAATCGAAGTGCTGAATTTGAATATAGATCATTAGGAGAACTGCATTAACTCATTCTAGTCATAAATTTTTGTGTACAGTGTTGAACAGAAAAATATCATTCTAGTTCTATTTTGAATTCGAGTCCTAAATGCTTCTCACTATAAGTAGATTGCTAATATAAACTGTTTTCTTGTGGAATTACATATAACTCTTAATGAATATTTTTTTTATTGCAGGCAGAAAAGAGAGCTCATCATAATGCTTTGGAGAGAAAGCGCAGGGATCACATAAAAGACAGCTTCACTTCACTAAGGGACTCTGTCCCAGCTTTACAAGGAGAAAAAGTTGTGAGTTCTGACAAATATGTCATGTTTTATTTTCAAAACTATGAATGGTTTTAAAATTGTTTTGTATAAAAGAAACCTGTTATATGTAATTTTTATTTACAGGCAAGCCGAGCACAAATACTCAAAAAGGCAGCAGAGTATATTCATTTTATGAGGAAAAAAAATAATTGCCACCAGCAAGATATTGATGATCTCAAGAGGCAAAATAGTATTTTAGAGCAACAAAGTAATGTTTGATATTACTAATAAATAATTTGATAAACCAATTTAATAATTTGATAAACTAATAAGAGTTTCATACTACATGATTAGCAAATATTATGAGCATAAAATCATGGGTGTTGATACAAATATCAAAATTACTATAAATCTAAGTGCTTATTTTTATTAATATCTAATTAACTGTGATATTGTTTTAATATTCATAATACATTTTTTTATTGAAGCATTAGCTAATGCATAAAATGTGTAATAGTGTTTCACAAATTATTTTTCACGAGATACGTTAGAAAACGATAAAATTGTGCATTAGTTCTTGGAAAAGTGGCAAATGTGCTTATTATGTTATCAATGTATCTATGTTATAAACAAATGAAACATCAATTATTGAAAATATTTACTGTTTAATATTATTTTACTTAATTTTTGACTACTATTGAAATTTCTCAAAATACTATTGAACTTTTTCTGCATTTACTGGTTTTCATTATTATAGTTGTTTGTTAAAATGTACAATATGTTGTTAAAATTCTTTTAATATCAAATACTTATTATCCAAATAATTTAATATCGTTAATCACTGTTTGTCTTCCCTTGGCATGCTGATCATTTTTCAATTAATAGAATATTTTCAATTAATATATATATATAATGTATGTAACCTAACTAAGAAAGATAAATGTATTTTAATATATGTTCACTCATGATTGCTTTTATTTACAGTCCAAACACTAGAAAGGGCAAAGGCAACAGGAAATTTTGCTGCTGAAACTAGCGACTTATCAATGAATATTAAAAGTGACGGAAGTTCCTTAACTTCAGATAGCTCTGATAATGATTCACCATCAAGGACAAACAATAAATCTAGGCACAATAAGAGAATTAAGTTGAATGGTTATGCCTAATAAGTTTAAGGATTTAACTTTTTATCAGATATTGTTAATTAATCTTTATAACTGTATATAAGTGAATTTATGATTGTTACAGTTTTAAGATTACATTAACGTTATCTACTTCAAATTTATTTTAATCTATATGTATAAATATGAATTTGTATTATTTTTCAAGAATAAATTTAATGCAAAAATTGTAATACCTTTCAATATCTTGAAGAAATTAAGATTCCACTTATATGTTAGATAATTTCTTATGAAAAATTTTATTTATATTTAATGATTATGAACAAATTTTCTTTTATGCATTTCTGATATATGCATATTTGATTTCAGTTTTTTTCTGTCCTAACAATTGATAAGGTAATGGATCCATACTATTTGCTATATTAATTCTAATTCCTAGATTTTTATGTTGTTAAGAAAAGGGTATGGGCGCATTGTCATTCAATTTTACAATTGCATAGCCGATAGGCCGAGCCGTTTTTCTAACTTCACAGAAAAAAGCAAGATTTTTCGTCTACGTTTTCGCAAAAAATCCTCGAGCGCTTTTGAGATTTTAAAAACCCTTTAAAAGATATCAATTAGGAATCGTGCAGATTAGTTTCTTTGCTTAAAAAATTGTTGACGATTTCGATGAAACTTTTTATAATGATAGTATTCATTGATATAAATTAACATACTGAAATATTATAGGCCTTGGAAAGCGGTCAAATAATAAAAATTTATCCGTTCCGTTTGATTGCTGATTACCGCTTTGATGCCTAAACTTAAATAAAATGCATTTCTGAATCATGAAGTTTAATGCAATTTGATAAATAAATTAATTTATATAATTAAGGATGTGAGTTTATTTGCCTTTAGAATATTTATAGAAAATCGCATCCTAATCTTATTTTTTAGTATGAAGTGAAAACTGTTTTTTTTTTTAAATAAATGGTTGAAAATTTTATCTAAATAGCTAAATCTCAATTCTCATTGATTATCAAGTGGATTTCTTATTTACATATATCGGGAAATGGGAAAAGCTCATGCAACTATTTGTTTCTCTTATCTATGCAACTCGCCTTAAGGCGAAACGCCACTTACAACTAGTTACTGAATTCTAATGTTGGCAATGAATTTTATACTAGTACTAGAATGATTCGGTGACATGAATGAAGTAAACTGACGCAATGAGTGACATTTATTAACGTCATGTGGTATAGGTTAAGTGATTTTTTTCGTTATTTATTTATTAAATTTTAACAACTATGTGGTCTTTCTTTGTAAGAGATTCCTCCAAAGATTTTCCTTATGAAATTGTTGATCAAACATATAATTTAGAAAATAGAAGTATATGGAAATTACACAAAGCAAAGAAAAAAGGTTCAAATGATGACGTCTCTGTGTTTATATTTGATATTAAAAACAATACCGAATACAATTTGGAAATAGCAAAAGCGACAATTAAACGGTTAAAGACCCTCAGACATCCTAGTATACTGCAATATATAGATAGTTTGGAAACTGAGAAGAACTTATATCTTGCTACTGAGTTTGTTGAACCTTTTGCTATGCACATCGCTGGTTTACAAATTGAAAAACGTCAACAAGATATGTACAAAGCCTGGGGTTTGTTTCAAATTACGGTAAATTACTATAACTTGCCCTACGGGAAGTTAATAACTCAGATGAAAATATTGTTCTATAATTTTGTACATTGTTAATTAAATAATTGTAAAATGTTATATACATTTATTTCAGCGAGCCTTATCATTTTTAAATAATGATGGTAACTTGCAACATAACAATGTTTCATCTTGGTCTGTGTTTATAAATACTTCAGGTGAATGGAAGCTAGGAGGGTTTGAATATATATGTGCTGTTGGTGTAGTACATGACAAAATACCAATTAAAACTTGTATAGACCTAGATGTATATGATCCACCAGAAAAAGCTGTAAAATATAAACATTCAACAAAAAGGTATTGTTAAAAGTATAGATTATTAGTATCCAATCTAGTTTATGAAACTAAAGATGTATCGAATTACAGTTCTTCTGATATGTGGGGATTAGGTTGTCTGATATGGGAGGTTTATAATGGTCCTCTCAAAAATAGAGTAAATTTAAAAGATGTGAACTGTGTAAGTAAATGTTGTGAATTTTTAAAAATTAACTACTTAGTTAAAATTAATTCATCACACAGATTCCAAGAAGTTTAAGATCGTTGTATACTGAATTAATAAGCAACAATCCATCTGATAGACCAAACCCTGCTGATATTATAATTAGATGCCAAAAAACAGGTGGATATTTTAAGGTAATTTGCGTATAATTGTTTTTTTCTAAACGCCGTTATGAGTGACAGTATTATATTACCAGAAAGTAGTTAATTAAGTAAATTAAAATGAAATTTGTAAATATGATATTATATTATATAAAAACATTGGTCATTTGTGTGTAGCCAAAGCCTGAAAGTTTTTGCTTGGCTGAAATGATGATAAAATTCTAAAAGTTATTTGAAACCTCTTTTGGTTTATTTAAAAAATCTATATTTTTGTTTTAAATTAAATTAGAGTTATATATATATATATATATATATATATATATATATTATATGTTTAAACTATATTTTTAAAAATACCAAATAAGAGTTTTTTTTTTCAGAATGACCTAATCGATTCTTTACTATTTTTGGAAGAAATACAAATAAAAGACAAAGCAGATAAAAATAAATTTTTTTCAACTCTCACAACTCAAATTGATTTCTTTCCTGAAAATGTTTGCAAGTATGTTCTTTACTATATTAATTTATGTCAGAACTTTTTATATAAATATTTGTTTTAGGTATAAAATATTACCCCAATTGATAACTGCTTTTGAGTATGGTGAAGCTGGTTCCGCAGTTCTGGCACCAATGTTTAAAGTAAATAGTATTAATTTTATTATTATCATTATTAGTATCTCAGTATCTAACTTGTTATTGTTTGCTAGCTTGGTAAATTGTTAGACGCAGATAATTATCAAAAATGTATTGTACCATGTGTTGTACGTTTGTTTGCTTCTACGGATCGTGCAACAAGATCTCGTCTATTACAACAACTTGATCTTTTTGTAGAACATTTACTGCCAGCTACTGTTAATGACCAGATTTTTCCGCAAGTAGTGAATGGTTTTCTTGATACAAATGCAACAATAAGGGAGCAAACTGTAAAGGTATCAATTAGTTATACAAATAGTTTAGAATATACTGTCACAATTGGATGGAAATTTTTTTTAATTGCTTGTTACTTTTTAGGCAATAGTTCACTTGGCTTCAAAATTAAGTTATAATAATCTTAATGTAGAGGTATTACGACATTTTGCTCGTTTGCAATCTCGCGATGATCAAAGTGGAATCAGAACGAATACTACAGTATGTCTCGGTAAGATAGCGGCACATTTGAATCCTCAAGTTCGACAGAAAGTTTTGATATCAGCATTTGTTCGAGCTACCCGCGATCCATTTCCTCCAGCTAGAACAGCAGGTGATAATAAATAAGGCTTGGATATGATTTTTATACTATTTTTGTTTAAACATCTTATTACCTATACTGATTACATTTGTTAACTTAATTATAAAGATTATTCTAAAAACTTCATTCACCGAAAGTTAGTTAATTTATTTGCAAGTGCTAGCTTTTTTTTTAATTTCCATAGACTCATTAGCAAGAGAATGCGATTTAAAATCATCTTTACACTTTGTAAGTGACCACATTGCTTTGTCTGCTATGCGTGATAAAAATAATGTCTTTGTTATGATTCTTTTATTATTATAATATGTTAACTTGTTAGTAATATTTGAAAACTTTTTTGTTTGTTTTTTCTAAGTTGAACACAATTTGTGTCGTCTTTCCACTTGAACGATTCTGTTTATCATTTTTTGTAAACTCATTTATATATATATATATATATATATATATATATATATATATATATAGTATGTAGTTCATTAAAATAATTTTTGTCATATGGCAGGAGTGTTAGCTCTTGCAGCAACCCAGCAATACTATCTACTATCAGATGTGGCTGGACGCATATTACCAGCACTATGTCCCCTTACTGTAGATCCAGAACTTTCAGTGCGAGATCCAGCATTTCGCACACTGAAAGGGTTTCTGGGAAAATTGGAACGAGTTTCACAAGATCCCACTTTAAAAGAAACTATGGGTATGCTTTATTATTCATTCAATTATGTGATCATGTTTTACGTTTTCTAAGATGTATAAATGTATGTTGAAACAAAATTGCATTTTGTGATAAATGCATGTAATTTAATATATTTAACTTAAGATAATATTTTATTGTAATTCTTAAATTTTATTAACTATTTGCACACTTTATTAATAAGCCTATTCAATCCGAAATAAAATTTAATATGATTGAAAAAAACTTCGAAAAATTCACACTTTTTATTTAACAGTTTCCATATAAGCTAATTTTTGTCCTTTTTGTACACGTATATCAATAAAATTTATCAAAATAACATACATTTAAACTATTAATGGATAGAATGATCCAAAAGTTAAAAGTATTTTCGATTGAAATAGAAAGCATATTGGTATTAATAATAAAGTTGATTTAATTATATTCGTTATGAAATTAATATCTTAAAAAGTGAAGTAATAATATTTCAATAAATAGGAATTATAGTCATATTATTTCTATGTAATGGCCATAGATAAGGAAATGGTAATGGCTTTAAATAAATTTAATATATTGAACATTATTACTACATCATGTTGGAAGTACTTTATTGTATTCTTTTCATTTTGATTAAATTTAATATAGTATAAGGGATCGTTCAAGTATTACGTAAGCAGATTTATTACAATTATTTACCCCCCCTCTCCCCTTTGTCAGCAAAAGTAAGCAAAGTTCTTACCCAAAATAAGCAAAATAAGCAAATCAATAACCCTCCCGCCCCCCTATAGTGCTTACTAGGGAATGCAATACCGGTTTACCGGTATACCGAATTACCGGTAAACCGCCCGATTTTTCGGCGGTATTTTTACCGGTATTTACCGCAAAAATACCGGTATTTTCACATAAGCGCTATTTGATACATAATACACTGAAGTTTAAATTTCTCAGAACAAATTTATCTTTAAATTCGATAATCGCATAAACAGCTATATCTTCAAGTGATTCTATAGGATAAACAAATGTCAAATATTATCTCAACTCGTCATTAAATTGAATGTTCATTGCTTTACTATAAAGGCTTTATATCGTGTTACAATAAATAGAATTGGACTGATAGATAATGATGTTTGTTTAATCTTATGTAAAAATGTAACGGTTTATTAAGTGATATTTGCGCCAAAATATTTTATATCATACAGATTACCCCTGCGTAATCTTCATTTTTTTTCAACTTTATACATAATAATTACTAATTATTATAATATATATATATATATATATTATAATTATTAATTATAATAATTACTAAATATTTTTGCTTCTTATTACATTTATAAAATATTATTTTTCGAAAACATTTCGAAGTTTGAAAATACTATAGAAAATCACATTGTTTTAAATAACAATACTCAACAATTATAGTATCTTATTATTTATCTCGATAAAGTATCGGATCTTAAATAAATGTTGAAAAAAGATTTTTTTAAATATTGGAAATTATTCTAATTTAACACATCGGACACAGACAATACAGTTTATTATAATAATGTAATATGATCTTTTATGAGTTTTTGGTCTTTCTTACTCATACGTTTGTTTTTGGTGAAAAGTACTCAATATACACGATAGTGATAATGAATTAATTAAATTGGATATAATTTTGTTAAATTATTATTCAAAAAAATAAACTTATTGTTTTATTTTCTTGTTTTTATTGTTTAGTTGAATAAAGTTGTGGTTGTATATACATTTTTTTATATTTGTACTAGTAACTTTCAATTTTGTTTACGTTTGTTTAAGATAATAAAAATACCGGTAATTTACCGGTTTTCCGGTTTTAAAATGAAAAATTACCGAAATACCGGTATTGAAATTTTCCATCGGTATTGCATTCCTAGTGCTTACGTAATACTTGAACGGCCCCTAATATAAATATATAATACTTATTTGCTTAATTAACGCACTAATAATGCTCTTGTTTTCAGAAGCGGATGTGAATGCTGCAACACCTGCGGTTGGAAATGCAGCATCAACATGGGCAGGTTGGGCTGTTACTGCCGTTACATCCAAATTTTATCGAAGTCAAAATGACAGTGGTCGATCTCCCAATCATCCTAATCAACAGCTTCCTGCTAATTCACTGAGAAAGTTCAATTTGTCTGGTGAGTCAATATTAAATAATAATAGTTTAAGACAATACAGTGTAATATGATATACCAGTTTAATTTGTTCTGTAACCACGCTCATATATTGAATCGCTCGAATATCGAAGTAATTTTTTAATACTCATATAAATTTATTGAAATATCTTTAATTTGTTCCAGCACTGTGGTTTTTGTTAAGTGAATTTGAATAATAATAATAAATTTACTCTCTATCAATTTAATTATTGTCTTTTCCGACATGGTCCTTTTTTTTGGACCCATGGTTATAAAAGTATGTAATATTTTGTAAATGTACAAAATCAAAAATATATAACATACTGATCGCCTTAAAATAATCCTCAATATATTTGTATGGGTATATCATTACTACACAATTAATCACAATTAATATTATTAATAAATAATTTGAGAATGACTAACTCTAAAATAACTTACTATCATGAAACAGACCAAATATTTCCATTGTAAGAAAATCATTGTACAACTGACGAAATTTTTCATATTGTCATTAACATATTTCTAGAATACACTTAATCGCTTAAAGCTCGTATCTCGAATTTTGCTCATATGTCGATTCTATGTCGCGCGTAGTAATTTTTGGTCATTTTTGTTCAGAGTGGGTTTTGTCTGCCTTATTATATACCATTGGTTCATACTTATTTTCAGATGAACACAAAGGTGATAAAGGTGAAAATTTACCAAATACTACTATTTTAGTCACTCCTTTAGAGAACGTAGGAAAGGATAGCAGCGATTCCACAAATGAAAACTGGGATTCTACCGGCTGGGATTGCATGGAGGTTTGTGATGAATCATAGCACTAGAATTTTAAATATTTGAAAGTTTGTTAATTTAAAAATGTATTAAACATTTGATTATAGTTTGTTCAGCTTCTTATACAATATTTATATGTTTTATATATATGTTTCAGTCAATAAGTCGAGCAAAACTAAAACATCCTTATTAGTCAATCTGGCAGAGTAAAAATATGAGATAAAAACGCATATAAAATATAAAAAATATAATAAAAGAATCCAAATATATATATATATATATATATATATATATATTAATTATTTATTTATTCCACCGTTAATACATATTTGAAACCGGCGCGATACTAACTAAAAAAGATTCGATTGAGGATTACTGGTATAATTTTAATTATAATTTATTCAGATGAAGAAACCAATATATATCTAGTTGAAACATTAATATTGATTTTGAAAAATAAAAAGTCAAATAAACGTTAAATAAGAAAAAATAAAATTTAAGCAACTAATATTAAATTAGTATTTACTAATTTTCTCTTAAAAATGACATGAAAATATGTACAGACGGCATTAATATAATTATCAAAATGATTACGATGCTTTGCAATTTGATTATGATATTAGTTACAACTACTGTTTCTATAACTAATTTTATATATAGTAGTCATTATTACCATAAATTAAATATTTTATGGCATATATATATATATATATATATATATAAATATTATAAGTATTTATGTTAAATGTTTTTTTAGATTACTGAATGATGATACACATCAAGTGTCGAAACGTTTAATGGAATAAATAATTTTGTTATTTAATCTTTTTTTAATTCGACGGTTGGGCTGCAAAAATATTACAAATATATATATATATATATATATATATATATATATATATATATATATATATATATATATATATATATATATATATACATTGTTTTAATATATACAATTATTTATTATTATCTAGAACTGTAGTGAGTTTTATTTTTTAGAATTCAGAAAATACTTCATTTTCATCCAATAATCCATCAGTTGGAAAACTATCAATGACTACATTACCAGTAGATGCAGAAGATGGTTGGGACACCTCCGAATGGGGTTGTATTGAAGATGAACCTGAAATCGTTAGTAAAAAATTATTTAGCAATATTTAAAGAAAATATTTTGAATTAATTATTTGGTATTGGAAATTACTGTTCTCGAATTTTCTTGACGTTTTAATTAGATGCAATTACGTTCTACTATACATTATTCAAAATAGTTTCAAATCGGATATATATCCGAGAATAAGTAATATTTCAGATATATAATAATCAGGCGCTATATCTTTGATTTGCATGTTTTTGTTTTATTTATTTGTTTTGTAGTGTTTAAAAAGCATGGTATTGCTATTATAATATACATAACTACATAATTTATTTAAATTCAGGATAAAAAAAGTGATGACAATTTGAATAATTGGTCTTCAGGAAAATGGACTGAGGGGGATTCTGACCGAACAGAAAAACATTCTTCTGGTAAGTTTCCAAAGATATTTAAGTTTTTTTTATAAAGGCATGTTGCCATAGCACAATTTTTCTCTAGTTATATTTCTGAAGTTATTGGAATCAATTAACAAAATTTTGATAAATTTAACAATATTAGCTTAGGTGGTAAAAAGATCAAATATTAGTATGTTATTACTATAGCTTATTACAACTTTCTTCAATAAATGAATAAAAACGTTTAATTAATGTTTTCAATTTTTTTATAGATGATATAATTGAAGACAATTCCAATATTAGTGAAAAAAGAAAGTTACAAAAACAACGCAAACCTGCTTGTAAGAAAGAAATAAGGGGTCCTTTAAAGCTTGGACAAAAAATTCAATAAAGTTTGACAAAATTTATTTTAAATTGAAAGTAATATATACAATATAAGTAAATGGTCGTATTTTATGCAATCAAATAAGGAAAAAAACACATAGAGCATATAAATCAGTTCTGTTCATGATGTTATGAAATATCTATATTTTTGAAATTTAAATACAATAAATTGCTAAAAGATGGTACTAAATAAAACTGTACGATTTGTCATAAGCAATATAATAAAGGAAATATCAATGCAAAGCAAAAATAATACTGGATGGTGCAGTATTATTATTTCGAATCCTGAATTCTGCAATAAAACCCACTGAAAGATTCTGAAAGATATTTAAAGAATTGAGATATAATAGATATTGGTGGAATAATAATTTGAGATATTTCAATAATTTAACCGCTTACAATAAACATAGTTGCCACTCAGTTATATTCTTAAATTTAATGACCCATTTATGCTGTCATTAAAAAAAACATTAAATTTTGAGGCAAACCAAAGCATATTATCAATCAATTTCTTTTATACACACTTTTTATACTCTGAAAGTGTCTGATTTTATAACACTTGATCTGATTTTGTATTGATGTGATCTCATTTTGTTATTAAGCCTAATAAAAATATAAAGGACACATTGGATTTTATAGTTTCGATAAAAATAGTAATGATGGTTATATCGATATTAATTTCAGAAGAGATATTAGGTTTGTATTTATTATCAATTTACTAAATTAACTTACTTTGTTAAAACATTTTAATTGTGCTTACCATTAAAAATTTACATGGCCATATATGCTTATTCATTCTATATTTCATTATAATATGTTTGAATGTTTGAAACACAGTTTGAAATCGTTTCAAATTCTTTATCTTAATACCTAATATATATATATATATATATAGAATACAATATTGTTAACACATTTTTTTAAATGTTCTTATAATTATATAATTTGTTATTATATTCAAAATATATTTTTTGTAATAAAAAATATTATAATTATTTTATATGATCAAGACTATCTTTACCTAAAGAACTTAAAGAAGAAAGTAATTCCTCCCCATGATAACAAACATTTTGTACTTGATATATTTTCATAAATCTCTGTAATACACCTTGTCATTTTTAGATTTTAATAAAATAAAATTTCTTTTCGTTTTATATATTTTTATTGTTCATCTGAAAATGACTGCAACTGCAATTTTGATATAAGTATAATTAATATAGTTTTAAGTTTAGATTAGATCTAAACTTATAAGTTTAGATATATCTATCTAGCTCGAGCTAATATTATGGCTAATTTTATGAATTAATAATATAGACTAAAACTAAGTACTAAATGACCAAAAAAATAAGGTGGTATTAATTAGCCATATGACTAATTTTACTGAATTGATAATATAGACTTAAAACTTATTAATACTAAATGAACAAAAGAATAAGATGATTAAGTAAATTAAAAAAGTTCATTTAATTTTATCTTTCAGAAAGGACGTAAGAATAGTGCGGCTGATTTCTTTAATATCTGAACAAGGACACAGGAACACACGCCATGTGTGTTGGCTTATGCAATTCGTAGAATAATATCGGTCGATTATATATATAATATATATATAATATATATATAAGGAATAACAAATTAAATTTTCGAATTTCGGGGTTTTAAGGTTTTCCGGCGGTCTGGATGCTATCGTTTCATAATAACGGCGATAGCATTTAGCAACTCATGATTAGTTTGGAGATTAAAATAGGGAAACTGCGTCAATGAATTGTTATACTTTAGATCAATTGCATGAAAAATAGGATAAAAAATACATATGTATTAGGGATAAATTATATGTTGATGCCAA